AGGACGAACTTGCAAAACGAGCAGCTGATCAACAACTAACAGATGCCATTACTCCGATATCTACACGACTAGTTCAACTTGTCAACGATGCTAATCGACTATTGGGAGATGCAGAAGGAGTACCAGCACAATACAGACCAACTGCTGAAGAGTTGGCTGATGAATGCAAAAAGGCTGTCACTCTTCTGCAAGATGCACCAAAATCTCATCCTTCTGTGCAAGCCCTCGAAGCAGTCCTATCTCCTGCTGAAAGCATGGTTCCAGTTTTGCAAGAACGCGCTAACAACTGGGATGCATTTGTGCGAATAAGAGACGAAGCAGACATTGAACTGGACAAATTGAGGAAACCACTCGACGAAGTGTTGGCAAAGCCACGAAGATCTACCAATGACGCTAAGAAAGATTTCGATGTGATTTCTGAGGAGAGGAAGAAGACGAATATTCTCAGCGACAAAGTTCGTCAACTGCAACAGCTTTCTGAACTTCTCGATCCTCTTGAGAGCGCATATGCCGACGTTCGATTCATCGACGTTGACGCAGAACAAATCGAGAAGCAGTATGATGACGTATTGAACGAGTTGTCAGCAGAAATCGAAGATGAGAACCTGCTCTGTGACTCTGTAGATCACTTCAACGCTGAGATGAATTCCATCTCTGATCTGCTATCCAGAGAGCCTAGTAAGGAGAATATTGAGAATATCGAACAATTCCAAATTCCGGCGCTTCGAGCACAATTATCGATGCTGAAGGAGAAATACGATGAGGCAAATCATGCTCGTAAGCATGTGGATCCGGACTCATCTCGGCTCGCTGTCTTAGAAGATCGTATGCAGTCTCTTGATGCATTGCTTGAAGATGCGAAGAAAGCCGCTGAGAAGGACGAACAAGAGCGTATTATTATTATGCTCACCGTACGATTATCACAACTTGAAGCGCTTCCTCTCCGTGAGCTTAGTGAAGATTCATTGAATGAGATGGAGAATCAACTCCAGAATCTTCCTAAGGAGAAGGTTGAACAACTTCAGAAACAAATCGAGGACTTGCGAAATGCTAAAAAGCAACAGGATGACACTATTCGTGATACTGTTCAACGTTTGGCACAAATCGAAGAGGCGATTGCTGCCCTTCCAACAGCTCAAGATATCCCGACACTGGAAGACAAACTTGCACGAATGCGTGACATTCGTGAAGGACTACTCAATTTGGAGATAACCGCTGAAAAGGATATTGACGATAGAGCAGAGAATGATCGAAAGAAACTTGAAGAAATGACGAAACATGATGAAGAACAACTTCAGAACATGTTAACTGAACGCGATCTTCGCAACGCTGCAGTTCAATCGCTCGATCAACTTGAACAAGACGTTGCGGACATTGAACAAAGCTTGCCCGTACCATCGACATCTTCTAATGACGTAATCGCATTCCAGCAGAATAGAATACCAAAACTCACAGCACGAGT